CGATAAATGTGCCATTTTTTACGTTTTTTGTTCAATTTAGCAGATTCGTGCAATCAGCCAACATGTTTGCAGCGGAGAAATATGCAGAAATTTGTATGCTATTGTTCATCTCAATTCTTTTAAATTGCTAAAATAGATTAAGGTAAGTGTGGAGTACGAAAATGAAGCCTCCACTGAACCCAATAAAGCACAATCACGTTAACCAAGGTTTTTTTACTTCCAGTTTTTTACTGCTTTGTTTGCATCGGTTGCTCAGTCTCTTTGGTACTAAGCAATATATTTCGTTGTTACCACAAGAGTTATTCTTCACTCTTTTAAACACCTTGATCATTTCGATTTGATCGGATCGACTTTGTGGTGGGGGTGCTGATGGTGAGGGAGGTCATGCCCTCACAAAAAAGATAATCCGGAACTTGTGCGTCGAAAATCTTGCATGACTCCTAGACCCGTGGAATTGAGTGACGCAAATCCATCAGAAATAATATCAGTAGAATCTCAATGAAGATCTAGTATGGTGTGAGGCGCTAGGGATGAAAAATGGAGACGAGAAACTCTTTATACCTGTCATAATTTCCATTTAATCTATTGAAGCTTCTGGGAGGAAATCTACGAGCTGTAGGAACAAAATTTATAATGTACACTCATCTATTTCTCTTATGCATATTAGCATTTTGTCTAAAATTTGTGGTTTCAATTCAGAAACTCGCATTTACGTTTCTATAAATATATCAATAGATTTCTCATAGATCTCATAGATCTATTTGAGTAGAATTCCACCCACAGGATCGACACCAGATGAGACAACTTTACGATCACGAACGAGGCTTAAATGGCATCGCATTTTCATTATGAATAAAGCTTCGGTGGAAACTTCGTGACGGATAAAAATATCATCTTTTGTGATGTAAGTTCATATCATAGAGTAACCAGTAACGCTTCCAATCATGTAGATCAATATTTCATAGCTAATTCGATTTTCTGGTTACGGTTATTTGGTAAATGATTGAAAATTCTAATTTTTAATAATTATTTTTCAATCATACTCCTCAATTTGAAAATTAGCTGGGCTGATACAGCAACCATTATGTTCATTTTTATAGCGAAAATGTGAAAGAAAAGTCAAGAAGTTTCATATGACCGGTTATATTTGATGACAAATACATATGTACAAATTCAAATCAATTTCGATTCTAAAGTAAACAATAATGGAATATTTAAAATTTTTCACGTATCAGGGAACGTTCGTAAATTATGTAACGCAAAAGGGACGCTGTTATCGCAAAAGGGACGCCCCCGCTCCTCCATTATATTGGTGTCACAAAGGCACCTCCCTCCTCTCGCGTTACATAACTTATGAACGTCTCCTCAACTTGGCTAAATCGGTTAAAATTATACATAGTTATGGCTGGATTGGACCGCGAATACTGCTAAAGTCGCACATCCTGGTGGGATAACCGTCCATAACATCTTCGCACAAGGTGGATGAACAATACAATCCGGACGAAAGGGGGCAATCGAGACAACGCGACTCCACGCAATTGGGGGCATTATAGGGCCCCATTACTTCATCCATACAGAATGGTTTTCCTGTTATCATCAAACATGTGTCAGAGGGTCAGTTGCAGTAGTACGTGCAGCAATTTCTCGAGTGACAGTGTCCCCCGGGGCAGCTTGACACCTGACGCGTCTCTGGCTTCCTTGGCGCGTACCACTCAAGTCCAGCTATGAATTTCAAAATTCAAATTATTATTCACAAATTTTAAACAAGATTTGAAGCCACACATTTTATGGTCACCCATTACCAAACCAAGGAATATATAAAGTTGCTTTCATTACATAAACTTCGAAATTAAAATTTTTAAATCTGCAAACTTGTCCTTTAAATTTGAAAAAATTTTGTAAAAGTGTCTTTACTTTACCTTTACAAATACCTGAGTGAAGTGTATGCAGAATGTTTAAATATTTTCGTGGTCACACCCTATAGAGTCGTGACTGAACGTTTTGGTGGTCACACCCTTTGGAGTCGTGACTGAATGTTTGTCCGTGGTCACACCCTTTAGAGTCGTGACTGAACGTTTTTCGTGGTCGCACCCTTTAGAGTCGTGACTGAACGTTTTCGTGGTCACGCCCTTTAGAGTCGTGACTGAACGTTTTTCGCAATAAACTAATAAAATCGTTTTTCTTAAGAGCCCGCATTGCGGGCTTCAGAGACTTGTGTTTAAATAAGTGCTTACTTGATGAGGCACTCGTAAGTTGGAAACTTCCCGCGAGGACAAATCCAACAAAGAAGGTGCTCAATATGACCAACTAGAAATTTAGAATTACATTTTTCGTAATTTCTAGATCATTTACAGGGTCAGGCGCGTAAGATATAACGATTTTGGCCTTGAATAACCCCGGAACGGTTTGTCGTAGCGGGTCAAAATTTTGAACCGACAAGCATGTTATCCTCAAATAGCCGTGTGCAAAAATTCAACTCTCTACTTTCAAAAATGCCTCCCCCACAGCCCCCAGAAGGTGAGACAGTCATTTCAACTTGTTCCAAAATAAATTTCGCCGGTGTTTGCAAAAAAAATTATTTAAATTTTCTGTTGAGGAATTTGAGTGAGTGATTGGTGACAATTGACGAAGAACTATTTTCCCTACAAGTCACTAATTGGGTTCGAAGAGCTTACTACACGACAAATGCCGAAAAACAATTCAAGAAATTTGGTGGTTTTCAGTGAGGAGAACTTTTTCAAACATTTTATGGTTGTGGGTGCAATGTCCGGTCGTGGTATCCTCCCACTTATCAAAGTCCCCCAAAAAGTGAACGTATCTACAAAGTATGATGTGGACCGTGTTTTGAAACCACTTTTAGAATAACATTTTCCTAAATTGTACGGTGAAAAAATAAACAAGGTGATTTTTCATCATGACTCAGTGACTTCGAAAACGACAACGTTGACTCAAGATAATGCAAACGACCTTGAACCTAGATTGGGGATAAAAATCATTTGGAATAGTGAAATACCTGTAAAATCCCCCGATATGAGTCAAATGGACTTATTTGGTTCGAATACTTGAAAAGAATATTTTTTCTGCGGAGACCGAATTTTTGAGACGGAGTTTGGAACGAGTTGAAATGACTGTCTCACCTTCTGGGGGCTGTGGGGGAGGCATTTTCGAAAGTAGAGAGTTGAATTTTTGCACACGGCTATTTGAGGATAACATGCTCGTCGGTTCAAAACTTTGACCCGCTGCGACAAACCGTTCCGGGGTTATTCAAGGTCAAAATCGTTATATTTTAAGCGCCTGACCCTACTGTACATAAATAATCTGCTCAACACCTGTCTCTCCCTCCATACATTGAAATCTTGGCAGTCATGAAGTTCACTAGCATCACACAGCATTCTATTTTTGTCCTGGTCGCATGTTAGTCATGCATTTGTGTAGACGCATTCTTAAAAATTATGTTACGCTTTTTGCAATGTAAATACACTATGCATAGATTAAGTTAACTGCACTAAATTCAGAGTACTGTTAACCAAACAGATAAGGAGTAAAGTTTACGCTGGATTTAGTATATTTTACTTAATTTGGAATTCACAATGCACTTGTGTACGTTTCAAAAGGGTAGCATTATCTTTAAGAGTGTGTGGCTCGTTCAGTACGGTGCCAAATCATATACATTTTAAAACCACATTTTTCCAGTTTGTCAAACCAGTTACATAACTTTTATTGCTGGCATTTATCCCAATCTGGGTACGTTTTACACATAGTTACACAACTTTTTGGGGGCGTGGATCATAATTCATATGCAATTTTCCTCCAGAATGAATGCGGTTGTGCGAAATATTATAAAGTTCAAGGCCATCGCTTCATCCAAACAGGTAATAATTCCGACCTGATTTTGCGTAAACGTTGAATCTCTACATTTCTAACAGATTTTAGACCTTTCTTCGTACTCTAAAATTCTTAGTGCATCAACTCATATGCTACATATACCCGTGTGCATGTACGAACGTATGTACATATGTATGTGCATAGTCATTTCCGTCCCGTACGTCCGGAAGCAAAAAGTGGGCAGAATGGAATACATGTGCCAAATATTATTTGTGGATTTTGTAGGATGGGCACCTCTGACGTCATTGCGGCTTCTTGAACGCCGCACTTTACCATTCTTCTCATTATTACTCACACATGCATACAGAAATATTAGTGGGTCGTGCATAAGGCATGTGATCAATTTAGGAGATCAAGTAGATTTTATAGATTTTATAGCCTTAATGTGTCCTGGTGTTCAAACCAGTTTTTTTTGTAATCTGATATCCATTAACACTTTAATATAGGTTGGCTGCAAGTCATCCTGTATGTAAAATGCCAAGGTTAATATAATTCTTCTTAGAGTGTATACTGTTAGAAATTTTGTAGCTATTGTCACGCACCTATTTCTTTCTCGGCATTGGAGTTATTATCAATTCGTATTAAAATTACACTGGTCAGTAAAAACTTTATTATGACATGGCAAAACTTTAATACGGATCGGTTAATAGTACACGATATTATTTATCAATACAAACTTAGGAGGGTCATACGTGAATACGGCTTGGTATTATTTTAATACTTGATTTCTAAGGGTATAATAATTTTTGCAAAAATTTCTCAACATTATTGGGCACAATATTTGGCAAATTTGGCACATCCTTTACGTCCGGTCACCCAGTTGGTCGTGTACTGATTACCCCTGCCATTATTTTAATAATAAATTTAATAGAGCGTAACATTTGGCACATGCTTTACGTCTGGTCCCCTGGTTAGTTAGTCGTGGTTATGCTGATCACCTTTCCTCCAGTTTTTTGGCAGGGATATTATTAGCGTCGTCTTTTGAAGCGTCTCCAAGAAAAAAATCAGACCGACTCGACAAAAGAGATGAAGTGAATTTAGCCAAGTTTAGAGTTCGCTAATGACATGTGAGACATAATGGATCGTCCTCCCGTTTCCAGTCTGAACACTAAAAATTATTATTTAGTCTTCTCCCAACTGTTCGAGAGTCGTGGCTGTTTATTTTTGTGCGGTGTGGTTACAGTTAAAAAGGAGCAAGTAATACAAGGAAAGTTGCAAAAAAAGTTGCACATTACTTCGTATCGTTTCGCATTTTTGAATGAATAAAGTAAACCCGGAGGATTTAATTAAACCAAAAGGTAAGAAACACTCTATTTAAAAAATTGCAGGCTTTGCAAAAATTTGAATACCTGTAAATCTGTTAAAATATTCTGAACTTATTGAAATTTTTGCAAATATTCCTCTACAATTAAAACAATACGGTAAATAAATTCTCATTGAAAATATCTATGTAAATATTTATATATATGTAAATATCAGTTTGCATTTTTTGCATATAGTAAGCTTTTGCAAACTTCAAAATACAAGTTTCTGAACAAAATTCATCTACAAATATTTCAAAATATTTTACATGTTTGCAAATATTCCTCTCAAATTAAAAAAACAGTTCAAACAAATTGTAATTAAACATAAACATTTTTTCATATGCCAATTTTTTTCAGGATGGGGTGCCCGACATACCCTCGTGCTCCTCGGATTCATGGCGTTAGGCGCCTCGTACGCCATGCGGTTCAACCTTGCGCTCGCCATCGTCGCCATGGTGGCTGACCATCCCACCAAGGTTGTAAACCCATCGAGCAATGAACCCGTCGCGGCGGCTGCCTCGTGCCAGCAGCACATCGCAAAGAAAAATGGAGTCGCAAATTCCTCGTTGGAAACTATGGAGGAGGAAAGTGCCAAAATTGCGAACATTTTGCGACTCGATATCCTCAAGGGGGACAAGTTAGACTGGACCGAGGCTGAACAAGGGATCGTGTTAGGCTCGTTTTTCTATGGTTACGTCCTTACGCAAATTCCGGGAGGATTGCTGGCTCAGAGATACAGTGCGAAATGGGTGTTGGGCATGGGAATCCTAATTTCTGCAATTTTTACGATTATTTCACCGATAACGGCCCCCTGGGGGAAGGAGTATTTCATCATGTGCAGATTTATGGAGGGATTGGCAGGGGTGAGTCATTTGTAGATTTTTTCATGAAAATTTGAATGGCTTGGGCACAAATCATTTTGCATGAAAAATTGAATGGAATTGGCACGGATTACTTTGCATGAAAAATTGCATAGCTTGGGCACGAATTACTTTGCATGAAAATTTGCATAGATTGGTACGAATTAATTTTTTGGCTACATTCTAAAAGTCTCTACACCTGCTGAGAAGATAATTGAAATTGTGTCAGTGTTTAGTCTACTCTTTGACATCTCCTGCCGGATTTTTTCCCTTAATAAATTGTCCATCTAATTAAAATCCATAATTTTATAAATATGGGAATTAATCCTGAAAATGGAAAATTTATTAATGCCGAGATTTTAATCTGTGTGTAAATTTCTTTAATTTTTAGGGATCCCTGGTACCCTCTATTCAGGTCATTTTGGCGAAATGGCTCCCACCCGCTGAACGGAGTGGCTATGTGAGTTGTGTTTTCTCAGGTGTGTAATTAAGTCTGAGAATTTTTAATAACTGCGAAGCAAATATGCTAATTTATTAATTATCCATTAAATATTTAGGGATCAGCGTCGGTACGGCGATAACGATGGTGGTGACGGGTTTTATCATCGAGCACTTAGGGTGGCCCTCCGTCTTTTATGTGATCGGCGTCCTCTCAATTTTTCACTTCGTCGCGTGGATGTACTTCGTCTACGACACGCCCGACCAACACCCAAGAATCTCCGTCCTCGAGAGAGAATACATTAAGGCTGCTATCGGACCTTCAACGACAAAGGTATCTAGAATTTCGCAAATATCAAAAAACATTGCGAAAACTGAATTTACGCAAAATGCTTTAATTTCAACGTTACATACATAAATGCTACAATTGGGGAGCGTATTCAGTTAGGGAAGTCAATAATTATTCAGCTCAAAAGGGTCTTATCAAGGGTGCAAATCTCATAAAGGCTATCCTTTTCCTATAAATTCTTTAAATTAAATTAAATAAAACTTTAGTGGCATTTAATTTTACAAAAATCTTCTGTTAAAAACAAGGTTATCATTTTCAGCAGTAAATGCACTCTAAATTCTAAATTACCTTAGCAAACTCTACAAACCCCAGAGTATATAAACTTTACTCTTTGTCAAGTTAACGTTACTCAGAATTCGATATGCATAATTTAATTTGCTTAATTTAGAATTAAGGCGGAATTTACTTTTCAAAAAGGCAGCATACTCATTCTTTAGTGTGTAATGAATAATCAAAAAAAATCACAAATATGTAATAGAAACTTTCATAAAAGTAAATTTCTCAAACAATTTTCTTGTACGACATATATTTGCAAAGTTTCCAATCATGTGTAAGGTCGGACCAGCAGAATTTACACATGTGCATTTATGGTCAAAATGCTCGTAAAATCTACCTCATCCTTCCCCGTTATTTTACTTTCTAATTTGGATTTGTTTCTTCATTGCAGGTCAAGTTGCCGACGCCCTGGAAGAAGATTTTCACCTCGGTCCCCGTTATAGTGATTTTCATCTCGCAGACGACGAAAGTGTGGGGCCTCTACACGCTGCTCAACCTCCTCCCAAAGTATTTTAAGAGCGTGCTGCACTTCGACATCAAAGAGGTGAGTGGATTATTAGTCGGTGTATGGACAAGGTCGACATTTTCATTTTCTGTGCCAGCTTCACAAACTAGAATAGAAACGAGAGGTATGTAAATACATAGTAAAAGTAGTGCAGGATGTCACGTGGTTGACATGGGTGACAGCGACGAGTGGTGATGAAGAAAGATGATTTTTTTCCTCGTGGGTTTCCTGGGTTAAGGCCAAAATTATGACGGGTACAAAACCGGTCCGAGTCGAGCTACATATATAAGCAGAGTCTGGCCAATTCCGGATTACATAAGAGATTAGAAAGTGGGAATTAATCCTGAATCGTGACTTCCACTGCGTTAAGTTTCGTCTAAAATTGAGATCAGAATTAGCTTAAAATTGGATTAAGTTTGCATTTGTTGAAGTGTCGAAACCAAAAGTTAGGAAATACTTAAATTAATCCTTAATCCAGAAGAACTCTCTAAAACTTCCTTAAAAAATAATTACTTAATTAATAAAATAATTACCCAAAATAATTTCTCCTTAGTCTATAATTTAAATCTTAATCCTGAACTTAAATTCTTAATCTCGATATGTATAAATCGCCAGTCTCTGCATAAGTAAAAGTTCCCGTACAAGTCTGACAGACATGTCAAGTTTTTTGGCACAATGGCTTAGATCACCTCATTTTCAGATATCCAAGAGTAAAACAAAACGTACATGTCACTGATGATATATGTATGAGATTTATATGAGAAGAGGATCCTGCATAGAAGATGTGCTCGATTTTAAGGAACATAAATTAGCACATGTTACATGTCATGCTGTTATTAACATATGGATGCCTTATTCAACTCCATGATTTTCTGCGCAGACGGTAATTTCTGGGTTTATTTTAATAGTTTAATATTTATTAAGGGGATAATAAGTAATATTAATCCGATATTACTTATTATCCCGCTGTAAATCCCGCACTTCATGTGGATTTGTGTAACTACTTAGATGTACATTTTTTTAGCAAACAGCGTTGGTCTTAATTATTAAATATGTATATTTACAAATCTAATCGTACCTTAAACAAATAACAAATCACGCATATTTATGTATCTACATACTTTCGCAATGAAAGACTACATATGTAATCATGCTAAATATTTATGAATGCCTAATTTCTGGAAAATTGCCTGAAACTTTTGGCATTAATTTTCATATTTGCAGAACAGTCTCACCTCAGCGTCCCCTCAAATCTGCATGTTTATCATTGCCACGGTCGTGACACACACGGGGGACTGGCTGATAGCCAAAAAGTACGTGTCCATCCTCACCTCAAGAAAGTTGTGTAACAGTATTGGTGAGAAATAATGAGAATTATGAAATCTGAAATTCTAAAAATTTATGGAAATTTTAATTTTTATAAATTTTCATGAACAGCTCAATGGGGCAGTTGCCTAGCCATGATTGGGGCCGCCTTAAGTGGATGTAATCGACTGTGGGCCCTAATTTTTGTCAATTTCGCTGTAGGATTTATGGGAGCGGGTAAAGAGTGTAGAAAACTTTGTAAAAATTGCCACTTTTTCAGCAAAGAAGGGCGTATTATTTATGAAACTATCAATTAAAGCAATTCACGAAGTCAATTGTAACTCTCGGTTTTGTGAAATAATTTTACAAACTGCTACAAAATAAAAAAAATGTCATTTAAAAAAATTGTAAGCTAAATTTCCTAAGGAATATTTGTAAAATAAGAATATAAAATTTTACTGAATTTACAGATTTTATAATGTTACAAAAGCCTGCGTGAATTGCCTCACTGTAAAAGTTACACAGTTTACAAGCAATCTTTGTTTGCATGAATTGCTCAATTTTTTCTAATTTCAGGGTTTGGAGGATGTCTGGTCAACGTGATTGATATCGCGCCAAATTTTGCTGGTGTTTTAATGGTAAGATTGAAATTCAGCTAATTGTACTCATATTCAGAGTCAGTAATGCGAAGTTGTGGTAATTTGCGAGTTTTCTTTTTGACAGGGAATTGGCAACACGTTTGGAAGTGTGACAGGTTTCGTAGCACCTGGCGTGGCTGGATGGATTCTTAGTAATAATGTGAGTGACGATTTTAGCATAAATGTGTAGAAGACCTGTTGTCCGATTTTTCGGGGTTTTTCGCCAAAACAGTTCGTTCATGTTGAGGGTATACACCATTGTGTTGGTATGCTTAGTATCGTAAAAATAGTTTTAGTAAAAGGAACCAGTCATATGCTTCCTCAAAATTGTACCCTTAGTAACGCGATTCTTGATTACGGAATCTTACCAAAATCTCTTAAACATCATAGTGCTAGAACTGCTAAAAATCTTAAATACCCTAAATATTAAATTCATATTTTGTGAACAATTAGTTCAAAATGTAATTCCCATATTTATAAATAATTCGCAAAAATTTAAATTTGCAAAAACTCCATTCTTCCAGGTGACCCTTGAACGTTGGCAGATCGTCTTCTTCATCGCCGCCGGCCTCATGTTTTTTGGCAATCTGAGCTACATCATTTTAGCCCAAACGGAAGAACTCGAGTGGAACCGACCCCCACCCGGGATTGGTCTTTCCGCCACGCCCACCCCAGAACCCGGCACGGCGGAAGAATCCTCCGACGAAGAAATACCCGAGTTACCAAAGGCCGACGATATCGCACACCCCGCCCACCACGCGCACCCTCATCGTCGCCACAGCGGGGCACGCCGCGACTCGCAAGCATTTATCCCGGCATTCAACCAACCCCGCGCGGGACGACGGTACTCCACCCTTTCAATGGGATTGTCGCAAGAGAGTTAAACAAGATTTATGCAAATGTACCTTCCACGGGAATAAAAGGCTACACAAAGAATATTTATGTAAAAAAGTGGGATTAAAAATTACTTTTTTTAAAAAAAACATTGTGTCTTGCATTGTGAGTGTGATTTTGCAAACCCGGAATCATAATAGGGCTAGGTCCATAAATTACGTAACTTCTGAGAGGGTCTGGAAGCCCAAAGTTTTGTGTGACAGGTTGATTTGCGCTACGTTTTTAAATATTTGTTTTTAAATATTTTACCCTTGGATGAGGGGAATGGGATGGTTAAAGAAAGCCACATTTTTCTGCGACATAATTTATGAACTCTCCCAAAACATTTGTGTACCTATGTATTTTAAGAATGGAATTTTCCATATGCATGTTTGTGCCGACAAGTTTACCCTGGTGCAAAATTTTTCCTGCACATGAGTGAAAGAAAATGAAATATTCTCGTACAATTGTACGTACATACAATTGCGTACACGTTTGTTAATATTGATGACAATATTTCTCCACATATACATATTTATGTAATTGAGGAAAGATTTACATAGGATTTTACTACCTAGTTAAGTATGAAATGCGAGCTGTCATCGAATAACAATTTTGGCCTCAATTCGTGCAATTAAATTGAGTGCGACGCCACTAGGGTTGCCGTTTTTATCCGAGATTATCCTATCCGATCGGATAGGATCGGATAATGTCGGATAGGATAAGGAAAAATAGGATTCGGATATCCGACGGATAGGATAATTTTTTCAAATTATCCGACTCGGATTATCCGATGGTGTCTATCGGATATCCGACGGATATCGGATAATTGAAAAATGTCAAATTTGGTATGTTTTGGGCATTATTTTACAAGTTGAAAGTGGAAGTAATTGTATTACATTTCCAATTGTATTGAATTATCATGCATGACAATTATATTCATGACGGGAATGAAAACGTTGCAAGATTCTTTGATGGATAATGTATATATGTAACGTCAGGAACTGTTATTAAGATAATCTATTGCGAAGTCCGATAGATTTATCCCCGAACAAAATTGTTTAAAACCTTATCTCATTATAGTAATAAGTTTGTTGATGCTAATTAAACTCCATTCCTGCTGCAGTAGGTGAATTCGAGAAAGCTATCTCTGACACTGTGAAAGATAATGCTACCAATTTTGCATGTCTTAAAGATGGGGTTACCTTGGAAGATTCTTTATCGTAATTTGTAGCAAAATTTCAAACTTTGCTTTAAATAAAACGAATGGAACATTAATTTTAATTTCCAATTAAAACTGGGGTCAATTGAATTATCCTATCCTATCCGATCGGATATCCGAATTATCCGTCGGATAGGATAATTATTTGCTGGTTATCCGACTCGGATTATCCGAGTCATAAATTTATCCGATCGGATAAAGATAATTTTTATCATATCCTATCCTATCCGATCGGATGGCAACCCTAGACGCCACGAGCATGATGTTTTCTTGATTTTTTCGCTCACATCTGCACCCACGATGTCACGGCACAAAAAATATAGTTTTTTACATGATATAGTGATGGACCTATTTATTTAATACCCCTAGTCCCCACGTGTCTATCTACATATATGGCGATATATCTTGTCCCCCTTCTTCACCAGATAAGTGACATGCTATATGCTCGACCCTCTAAGATATGAAATTGTGAGTCAGTGGTGGTCATGTAAATGAATAGAATGTTAGCTAAACTAGAGAGATTTGTTATAAGGGCCGTTCATAAATTATGTAACGCGAGAGGGGGATCACTAGCTTCAAGGATATCGTGCCACTGTTGCACATGTTAAAGGGGGGAGGGGAGAGCCTAGAAATGTTTGCGTTACGTAATTTATGAATGTCCCCTTATTTTCGGTTCGCAGAAAATTTGCTGGATATTGCACTTATGTTAAATGTACATGTTATGTATTTATGTATTTCGTGACTATAATAATGACTCGTGTCTTGTCGGAGTTCGTGTCTTAACCTTTCATTACCACCACCCTCTCACCAGTCCTGTTCCAGTTAGGTACATACATACCATCTCCTCTGTACAAATTGGTCGGCATTTTTAATTAATTAATTCCAATTAAGAGTGGACATAGCGGAAAAAGAATTAGACATTGTTACAGAGACCAGGACGCATTGCACTAACATATTCACTGGAAACATAGTAAGAAAAAAATTATCCCATAGTTTTAATTATGCTAATGAATTTTTTGCACATAGCGATATTTTTTAAATTATGCTTTCACACTCTTAAAAACCCGGTCTTAATCGTCACCACGAGTTGATAATGTTTATCACGAAATAGTGACGAAATGACTTGCACTCATATTAATATTATTGCACTCTTAGAAATCCAGGAGTATCTAGAATAATAATACCTACCAGTATTCTTAAATTCAAATGTGCCTCTAAATACATACTTACCCGGAAAAAATATTGGTATTCATTTCTTGGTATCTATCGTTACTAATAGTGGCCGCGTTAGCCGTGGGGACATGTTTGTGTATTTATGCTCAAAATAAGGTAGTAATGAATCATTACCATGCGGAATCATTATCATGCGGAATCATTATGTGTCTGTACCACGTCGGTTACGATTTGTCGTAGAAATGGTAATAATAAGTTCAGGGAAATTCAAATTTAATACATAATGATATTCACTTCCTTAATATTTGGTAATGAATTTGAATTTCCCTGAACTTATTATTACCATTTCTACGACAAATCGTAACCGACGTGGTAGAGCCACATAGTCATTCCGTATGGTAATGATTCATTACTACCTTATTTTGAGTGTACACACGTGCAAGAAATGTACACATTTTATACATAGGTTTTATGACACCAAATACATTTGCATTTACATATCTATGGAACATGTTCTGAACAATTAATTAAGCATGATGATTCGTTCCCTTTAAACAGAGAAACTGAAGAAAAAATAGAGGCAGAGTGAGACCATGGAACCACAACCTGACGAATTGGATCCAGTTAATCTGGCATTGCAAAATCCTATCGTACGTGCACAAATCCAATTATTTTAAAATTAGTACTAAATTATCATATACACTCCAGTATTAAACTAATATTAATCAGTATTATTACATACTTGAAGCTACAAATGTTGTATCGCTAAGTAATAACCTGTAGTATGTAACAGCTTTGTATTAAAGTTTTGTCATATCCGTAGATAGCAAATTTTTGAAGACTAGAATAATTTTACCAAACGGTAACGCATTTACATACTTAATGCCAAAAAGTTAATACCTTCGTGACCATACCAGATTTCGAAAAGTGTACATATTTTACAAAATTTTCAAAATCAGAGGCTTATGCATCTATACCAAAATTTCTTATTTTTCCCAGATTTTCGCAAAAATCCACGCCTTCGCTGGATCTGAATCTGGACCAATTTTACGACTCGTCTGCAAAGCCTGGAATGATGTTATTCTTTCCAACCCGAAGCGAAAAATGGTGCTAAAACTGCACACCAATTCACTCACCGATTTCTACGGGTGCTGTGACCCTTTGACCTTTCAATTATTCTGCAGAACGATTGACCCCCGACTCTCGAGACATGTCCGTCTTTGGCAAAAATACTGCAACGCCCATCAGCATAGCGAACATCATTATCGAGCCTGTCTTGCACGATTTTTCCACTTTTGCGAAAAATTTGGCGACATCGTGGTCACCATGGAAATCCTTGTGCGAGCATCAATGCTCCCAATTTTGTATGAATTGCTCACCTGGTCCTGCCCAAATCTGAGGTTTTTGCGAATTCGCAAATGGTGTTTCGGGTTCGAGTCGCGAGATCCTGCCGACCTTGAGGGCGACGTGGTGTTATCTTCGATAACACCTGGGCTACCGATAAGACGGGATTTGGTGGGACTCCATATTGGAACAAGTTTACGGAAAAATGCGAGTGTGGCTCACAAGGGAACCTCAACTACTGTCCCATCTCGATTTCCTTCGGAATAGCCTTAATCGACAGATAATTTAATGAAACTAAAACTTTGTCATAGAACATGCGGTGCAAAATCGCGTTTTCGCGAAATATTTGGCGAGAACTGCAGCAAAACCTGCCATTTTCCCAATGCTTTTAATATAGCCCCAAGTCTTTAGAATGATGTAATGAACTTTATGCAACATTGAAAAATTATATATGTACCCGTCCGCGTAATTTCAGCCCGATCACGATTATGCAAAAAGTGATGCAAACATTTGCCAATTTTTTGCAAATTGCGAAAATCGGAAAAATTTCGCAAATTTGAATTCTTCGTTTCTTTAAATAAAATTTTCAAAGTTTAACTAATGTAAAATACAATTTTCTTATTGCAAAAAATTTGCAAAAAAAATCGCAAATAATTTCGAAAAATATGTACAAATAGACTAGCATTGGTTATTTTAACTAATATTCATGAAAAATTACGAACTTCAATTTTTGCAAATTTTTGGAAATTTTTTGCAATATGAAAAATGTATTTTATATTGGTCAAACATTGTAAATTATGTTGAATTTAAAGGAACGAAGAATTCAAATCTGCGAAATTTTTCCGATGTTCTCAATTTGCAAAAAATTGGCAAATGTTTGCATCCTTTTTGCATATTCGTGATCGGGCTGAAATTACGCGGACGGGTACATATATAATTTTTCAATGTTGCATAAAGTTCATTACATCATTCTAAAGACTTGGGGCTATATTAAAAGCATTGGGAAAATGGCAGGTTTTGCTGCAGTTCTCGCCAAATATTTCGCGAAAACGCGATTTTGCACCGCATGTTCTATGACAAAGTTTTAGTTTCATTAAATTATCTATCGATTAAGGCTATTCCGAAGGAAATCGAGATGGGACAGTAGTTGAGGTTCCCTTGTCAGCTAAAGGAGTTTACACGGCTTCTGATTAACTCTGCGCCAGGGTTGAAAGAGCTCAAAATTCCGGACCATCCGGAATTTGACAATTTTAAAATTCCGGGAACCGTAAAGGTTGCGAGGGTCAATAAATAAGTAGGAAACACGCCTATTTTGCTTATGTAAAACTTATCTAATCATGAAATAGATTAATTTTTGCAAGGTATTTTATACT